CTTTGGAAAATATGAGGTGCTGCTGCTGGTATTTATTTTGACTGTGATCAGGTAATCATTAGTGGCAACATTGTTTGCTGATGATGGAGCATGAGTTTTCGTCTGGTGAACTTTAAAATCAGCAGGATAACGATCCTATAACAATTATCCTTTTTGTGTCCTTTCAATGGTGTGTTCACAGTTATATTCCACGTTCTTCTTGGGTTTGACTGATTGTTGGTTGGATGAAGAATAAAAAAAACTGTAGGTCAGAGAGGATTCTACAGCAACAACATTGGATAAACTTCTCTGGCTTCCTCAGTGACAAGCATAGAGTAAGCTTGGTTGATAGATGGTGAAAGGTTGCATCTGAGGATTTGCTTCTAACATGCAATATTCTCATTTAATCCCATCAGGAATTGTAGCAACTTTTGATTTGCATGTGATCTACGTAAAATTTTGACATGGAACATTCACAGGAAGGAAGCTGGACAATAAGACGTACTCATCCCATAGCATTCTTAGTTTAGATAAGTGGAGTGACGAAGTTCCTTGCATTAAGGTGACTATTTCTCATGTAATTGAAAAACTCTAGATCCATTCACTATCAAACCTTTCTTTCAATCTTTCCATACTAGATGTGCATAGATGCATAAACGATGCCACTTAAGAGTTCTTTAGTAACGGAATTCTGATCCAGGAGAGAACTATAGAATCTACATCTATCCCATTGATTGTGCAAGCTAACTGGAAAGCTGTTTTTGTATAAGTTCCATCAAAAAATCCAACTATTTTTAGCTAAACAAGCAATTCTCATAGATCTACTCCATAATGGTAATTATCAACGCCCATTAATTGAAAAGAAACGAGAACAGACCTGAGTATCAGAAGGATGAAGGTAAAGCTGAGACTAAAATCGATTGTTGAGCTCGATTGATCATTTCCATTATTTGCAAAAGATTGCGTCTCTCCATCTGCACTGACATTTGCCATTTTGGAAGAATGAAGATGATAGCTTCTTGATCGAGAAAGAAATGAGATCAGATAATAGACGAAATCCTGAGGAAATGATGAAACAGAGAAACTGATGAATCAGTTAACGAAGCTGATGAACAGATGGAACTGATGAATCAGTGAAGCCGTGTGATTCCTGATGAACAGAGTGAAGTTGAGTGAAGTTTCTTTAATTTTAGAATTCTCAAACCCTGGAATAGGCTCTGATACCATGTTAATTTGGGGGTAAGAAATGTGAAATGAAGAATTCTATATTCCAAATGCAGAGGTCTACATGTTGTTTTTTATATACAAAGAAAAAAACACACAGCCGTCTAACTAATTTTTCTAACTCTTAACAAAACTTACAGCTCAGCATAACTAATTTCTAACTAACTAAGTTTTCTTTATATACATAACAACTGTCTTTAACAAATCTATCACCATTTGGCGCATATGAGACCAAAAAAACTATGCTTGATACGGGAGAGGGTTTTATGAAACCCAAAGTGCCCTCCAATTGGTGATGAATGGCAGTCAACAATTATCTTTGGAATCAAGGTTGAGGTGGGGCTCAAATAAACTTTTCCTCTTTTGAACCACACTCCATCTCATTGAATTAGCTTGTGGTCTGAAGGTGAGAGACTTTTCTTTGTCAATTCTTCATAGAATGAATCTTGTTTGACTTCTTTTTGAAGTGTTGGCCACCAATCTGCACGCAGTATAGAAATGGATACAAATTGGAATTCAACTACGTGGGATAAAGAATCCACACCTTGATTTTCAGGTCTTTGTTTATACTCAATTTTGTAATTGTAATCGAGTATCTTTGGTAGCCATCGTGTTTGTGCTGGTGTAGTAATCCATTGCTCTTAAGACTTTTTTTGATCAGTGTTGACTGTAAATGGTTTCCCAAGCAAATAAGGATGCCATTTCTTGACTGCTTTGACAATAGCCAACATTTCCTTCTCATAAGTGGACAAGGCGAAGGCAGAACCTTTCAATGCTTTACTAAAATACGCCACTGGGCGATTTTGTTAGGTAGGGATTACACCGATTCCAATGCCGCTAGCATCGCATTCAATCAGTAATCGTTGAGAAAAATCTGGAAGGTATAAAATTGGTGGTGAAGTTAATGCCTCTTTCAATTGTTTGAAGGCCATCTATGTTTCCTTATTCCATTGAAATCCATCTTTGGTCAAGAGTCGGGTCAAAGGAGCCGCTATAACTCCAAAATTATAGATAAACTTCTAGTAGTAGCCTGCTAAATCGAGAAACCCACAGACCCCTTTTACTGTTGTCGGTGTCCGCCACTCAATGACAACTTGTATTTTGGTGAGATCAACTGACACCAACTTTTACGAAATTATATGACCCAAGTATTCAACCTGTAAAACACCGAATCGACATTTCGACTCTTTTGCAAACTAACTGTTAGTTGATAGGATGTTTAGAACAATTTGCAAATGTGTGAGATGGTCTTCCCATGATTTCGAATACACTATAATGTCATCAAAGAAAACCAAAAAACAATTTCGGGGATGGGGACAGAAGAGATCGTTCATGAGACTTTGGAAGGTTTCCGGTGCGTTTGTGAGGCCAAATGCCATTACTATAAACTCACAATGTCCTTCGTGTGTCTAGAATGTTGTTTTAGGAATGTCAACTTCATGCACTCGGATTTGATGATATCCACACTATAAATCCAGTTTGGAGTAAAATTTGGCTTTGTGGTGCTCATCTAATAATTCATCAATCATAGGAATTAGATACTTATCTTTAACCGTTATGTCATTTAGAGCCCAATAATCCACAAAAAATGACCAAGCTCTATCTGCTTTCTTTACTAACAAGATTGGTGATGAGATTGGGTTGTTACTCAACCTTATCAAACTAGAATGCAAAAGCTCTTTCACCATCTTCTCTATCTCAGTTTTTTGGTAATAAGGGTATCGATACGGTTGCATGTCACTAGTTCCGTGTTTGGCTGCAATTGAATTTGATGGTCATGTGTCCGCCTTGGAGGAAAGCTAGTAGGTGATTCAAATACATGTGAGAATTTAGCTAGGAGTTGGCGTATCTCAGGTGGGTGGGATTTCGGTTGGTTGATGCTCTTGGAAGGGACTATTTGGAAAAATAGCCCAGTGCCTTGTAGTTCATTGAATTCCTTGTCAGTTAAGGCCTCAATACCGGTTTGTCTTAATCCTTGAAAGGTGTGGGAAATTCCTCCCGCTGTGAAGGTCATGGTTAATTGCTTGCAATCCGTCTCGATAGGCCTAAGAGTTTCAATCCATTGCACTCCCAATACCAACTGGCATGCCACGACATGAAGAATGTAAAAGTTGGCAATGACGGTGTGTCCTTGAATGGTGAGGGTGAATGCTCGACATTGTCTAGCACATTCTATCTTCTCTCGGTTAGCAACCATGACTTGGAATTTCTTATCCCGAATTACAGGTAACCCAAACTTAGAGACCATGGGCTGATCAATGAAGTTGTGAGTGTTGCCGCCGTCTATTAGCACCGTTACATTCTTGTTTTTTAGCTTACTAAGGACCCATATGGTTTGTGGGTTTTGGTTCCCGCAATTGCATGAAAAGAAATTTTGGGTATAGCTTCTGGATTTTCTGGTTCAAGTTGAACGCCTTCGACATCCTTGATGCTCCCATGGGGTGAATCCTCAATCATAAATAATTACAATCGTTCGCAGCGATGGCCTGGGGCGAACTTCTCATCATAGTAATAACATAACCTCTTCTCTTGATGTTCTCATGCCTCTTGATTAGTAATTCTACGGAATGGAGTTGGAGGAACATTAGAACTTTGGTTCATGCGATGGTTTGGTGGGGGTCCAAGTACACCAATTGTTGGGTTGGGTGATGCTGTTGGTGTCACTAATGCTGGTTGGGAACAAATTTTGCTGGATTGGTTTCCTTTGCAGTTGGTTTAGTTCCTTAATTAGTCAAGCCACTCCTATCGTATCTGCCAAGGTTCTAGGTTGTTTCATTTTTACGTCGACACGAATGTCATCTTGAAATCCTGCAATAAAACAACCAATTAGAAAATTTTTAGGTAGGTCGTTAACTGAGTGGGAGAGTTTTTCAAAAGCTTCTTGATAAGAGGCCATGGTTGTGGTTTGTTTGAAGCGATTCAGAGCTTCCGATGGGTCCTCGTAGTCAATTGGACCAAATCGAAGTTGTACAGCCATGGTAAATTCACCCCATGTGAGTGGTCCAGGAAATTTCATCAACCATTTGTGCCATTATAGAGCGATGCCTTCTAAATGGAAGGAGGCCAGTTGAACTTGTTGGTCTAGTCCCACATTTTTTAAATCCAAGTATTGTTCTGCCTTGTAATCTAGCCCGTGGGGTCATTTCCATTAAACTTTGGAAAGGACAATTGAGGTGTTGGGGATGGTGGTCATTGATGGGGTTAGGACGAGAAGTATGTTGATGTGAAGATTCTTAACGTGCTAATGAGTTGGTTTCGGAAGAGCTAGTTTTTCAGGTAAGTGAGGTTCGAAGAGCTTGAAACTTAGTTAACACCTCTTGTAAGGCAGCGTTCACTTGATCGAAGCTTGATTCATGTCATGCTAATGCTTCATTGACTTAGTTGCGGAATTCCACATTCGTTTTGCTGCGAGTGTCCATGGTCAAAGCCATGCTCTGATACCACTAATAAGAAAGAATTTAGATAAGGGTGAAGAGGGGACTTGGAAGGAGAAGAAGAGAGGAATTACGGGCTAAAATTCTGCCCCCTTTATTGAACTCACTCAGGCTGTATATAGCCATACAACTGACAGGGAAAGTAAAAAGTAACAATAAGCTAAATAGTAGGAAAGAGGATAGCAACCACTATCCCACTATCCCATGATTTTATTCACTAAGATTAAAACAATTTGACCAAGTCCCAACTAATAGATAACCCAAACAAACTTTGACCAAGTCATCCCATTTTGCCACTTCCATTTCATGCTCCAGTGCATGCATGACATGCTTCCAAAGTGGCACATATCAGATGGTTAACTTATGATTAATTTCGATGCAGACCCCATCAGGCAATTTGTTTTGGATTGGGAAAAACGTGTACATATCATTGAAGCAGTTACACAAGCGCTTTTATATCTCAAAGAATACTCAAGATTGACTATTATTCATCAAGATTTAAAAGCTAGTAATGTCTTGTTAGAAGGAAATATGAAGCCAAAAATATCATACTTTGGCATGGCTAGAATATTTGCTAAAGATGATCTTGAAGCAAACACAAGCCGTATTGTAGGAACAATGTAAGTTTCTATACTTCTAATGCTATAGAATTGTCTCATGATTTCGCTTGTCTTATTTATTACTTTGTTATTGTTTTGTGATAATCCAATGTAGTAGTTATGTTCCTCCTGAGTATGCTAGAAGAGGCATATACTCTACCAAATTAGATGTTTATAGTTTTGGGGTTCTACTTCTACAGATCATAAGTGGCAAAAGGATTTCCCTTTTATAAGGTTCGAACAACTGTTTGAGCCTTCTAGACTATGTAAGTTAATTTCCTTAAAAGCTAGTATTGGTTATGTGTATCAAAATGTACTTAGCAATAGAATAAATAATTTAATAATTTCAGGTGTATGAGCTGTGGAATGATGGTAAAGGCATGGAGTTTACAGATGTATCACTAGACAATGCATATTTATCCTATAAATTAATGAGTTGCTTTTAAATCACTCTATTATGTATCCAAGAAAATCCAATTGATCGACCGTCCATGTTAAAAGTTTTCTCGATGCTCAAAATTGCAAACACTAATACGATAATTCCAAAAAAGCTCGCTTTCTCAAAGCAAAGTAAATAGAATAAACATATAAGACAGTTAAAAGGTTATTCAAGAAGCACGTCATCAATTAATGATGTAACAATTTCAAATGTTGTAACTAGATGAATTATATACTATAGCTTATTAGGTTGGCAATTGATAAAGCGTGTCTTGGAATTTTGGCGAACTAAACAGGATTAATCCCTTTCCTGTAGTTTGGGTTAAATTTATTAGGTGTAGTTTTGTATTACATGTTCATCAATTAAGATAATTGTTACTCTAAATTCTCAAATAGCATAAACCAAAAATCTGTGCAACAAAAAGCAAATTACTTGGGCAAATGTGCAAAAGCAGAGCATAAACAGAAAATTTGCAAAAGCAGAGCATCAGTGGATGGCCTTAAAACTAGTGCAAGAAAATATGAACTTGTTCTTGCACCAGGAATTGGATCTGTTCATCTGTCTCCAACAAATCCTCCATATCGCTCAACTTCGACAAGGCTCCAATATTAAAGTTCATTCAGATACCTTTACAATCTATTTCAACACCTAAAAGAATTCATAGAAACGATTTGCTAAAAAATTCCATATTTCTTTAAATAAACATGAAGTGCAAACAAACAGAAACATGGAATACTTGTATATATCTTGGAAACATAAAAAATAAATCAAAAATATTTGAGAACTTTTCATGTATGGTATAAAACATAAAAGAAGTTACAAAAGAATTTTCTAGAAGATAAATTAATGATGAAATTTGCCATCGTGGAAACCAAGTCAGTTGATGGCATGCATCAAAATGTATAAATCTCTTATTACTTAATTCAACTAAGAAGTTTTATTTTTGTTACTTAATGCATGCATATTGGACAATTGGGAACCAGCAGACAATGGCTAACCTATAAATGAAGAATTAATTACACTTATGATGGTGTAGACGTAAAAATCTACCTGTACGGAAAGTGGGGTCTGATCCCGTGAGGTTGAGGCCACCAGCAATCTGCTGTACCTACACACGTAGAGAAACACACGCGTGAAGCAAACGGGAAACACCAGGGTGGTGTTTGTCGTAGGCACTCCGACGCTCAAGTCAGCAAGGCTGAAAGGCTAATATAGTGAGGCTAGAGGGCAAGAGATTACCGGAAGTCTAGTCGGGGACTGTGACTACGGTGGTGAAATGAAGCTCTCAAGTAAGAGCTCCGGTTGTGAAGGTGTAATGTCGTGTCCTTTGTGAGAGGGCTGGCCTCTGCTTATATAGTGGTCGTCTGGTCTCCCAATCCTGGTGGAAGTAGGAGTCCTAGTATGACTCTATGCCAACCCTAGAAGAATCAGGGCCGTAATAAGCTATCTTACCAGTGTCCGGATAGGAAGTTGGTTCTGATTAGGAGAATAACTCCGAGTGGGAAAGTGATCAGGAATGGGAAAATACTCTAAGGGGGCTATGGGCTCTGGACTCGCCCATGGACCCAGGAAGTGGACTGGGACTAGGAGGCTCGCGCCTACATGGTTTGGGCCGGCTATACCTCGTATCAAATAGGACTAATCTGAATTGGGCCTCTGTAGGACTGGGCCTGGTCTTTCTTCACTAGTGGTCCTGTTTCCCTATTTGGGCCAAGGACGATTTTTGGCCATAACAGTTTGTCCCCCACTCTCTGAGTTGAGAGTACCTTAAGTCAGAGAGTAGGTTACGCTCAAGGCGAGCTCGGTCTTCCCTCATGGACGAACGATCATTGAAGTGAATGCTCTGACCATTGCAGGTGATCCTTGATTGGACGTCGTTCGGTATCCACTCCTGAACAAGAGCATGCCACCATCGCGATATGCCTGATCGGTTCGACGAGCTGAAGAGCAGAGAACTAGGTATGGTCGCTCGGTACGTCTGCGCGACTAGCAAGGAAACTGCGTAAGGGGTAGTCATTCGTCATGCCGGATCGGACGAGTTTAGGAAGTTCACTAAAATGCTTCATTCGGTCGGGGTGTTGGGACGACCAGGTGGGTGAGGCACCCCAACTACACGTTGTCCACTCGTTCGCCACGGACGGACGAATGGGCGAGGCTTCCAGCTTTGTTCTGAAGAGGGCTTAACCCGGGCTATTCCAAGCTCATGCATCGATTGACCAGGCCTTCCGGGCTGGCCGAGCATGGGATGCTTGGGAGGGCTCCTGACCTGAAAAGCTGAGTCAGTCGGACGGATTAAGTGGCCAAGTGGACTCGTTAGGGTGTGAAGGTTGGATGCGCGTCGAACTCATTTCGGGAGGTACAAGCTGAGTCAGCCGGAAGGGCGGGGAGACCAAGATACAGCTTTCGTACAGGGCCACGGTTTCCCAGGTGGTCTGGATCGCTGCCACGTGTATGGTGGCGATCGATCCGTCGTTTCGAGAGCGGGAAAATGAAGAGACCCCCTGACAACTGGCCAATCACAAACTACCACGTGTCTGCATTTTCTTTACAAAACTTGAGAGCAGACTGTTCATCTTCTGTCCGCGTTTGTTTTGTGCTTTCACCAAAAGAAAAATCTCTCTTTTTTGTTCTTCTTTTGTTCTTTTTTGTCTTAGTTTCTTTCAGCAACGGTGGTTTTTTCTGCAATAAGGTAACCATTTTTTCTTTTTAGGCTGATTTGCTGTTCTGTTTGTGGGTTTTTTTTGGGTGGTTGAAACTTTGGGAGGTAGGATGAAGGTTTTTTTTGAACTTTTGAGGGGGTTCACACTGGGTTTCCAAGTGTTTTCATGTTATGATTCAGAGAAAAGGTATAGATTTGAATTTTTTGGTGGATATCCGGGAAGAATCCGGCAATTTCGAGCATTTTCTGGGTTTTTTAGTCGGGATCGGGAAGACGAAGTTGTGCTTAGTACGAGGTCGTTCGGTCGGTCCGCCTGACCGAATAGGGTGTAACCTCGTTGGAGTTAAGAGTTAGGTCGTCCGCTCCATCCAACCAGGTGGAGAGGGGGCGCGTGGAGCAGACTGAAGAGACGGTCGGTCATCCAGGGCAAGTGGGAGTTTTTAGGTTGGTGGGTTAGTGAGCAAGGCGAGTAGGTGACTTGTTTGAGCTTGGAGGTGGGTCGGTCGTCTGGGGCGAGCAAAGTACTCTGCCAAACCTGGTTCCAGGGTCGGTTGGTTGGAGAGGTCGACCAAGGGTAGGGTGAGGTCTGGTTATCGGGTAGGTCGACTAGTAGCGTGCCTCTTCCTTCAGTCGGTCAGTTAGGTGGGGCGACTAATCTTCTAAGGTTCCATATTCTCGATAGGACGGGTCGACTGAGATTGAAGAGGCTGACTTTCGGGGGTGTCGGTCGGTGTTGAAGGGCGACCGATAGCTAGGTTGACACTTGAGCGTTTCTTATAGTTGAGTTCCATAACAAGGAACGAGTCGGTCAGTTGGGATGGGCGAGCGATCCGATATGTCAGACGATACGTCAGCAGAGTTGAGTCGAGATGTGGTGGATGTTGGGGATGAGTATGAGCGTGCCCCGACTATTGTGATGATGCCTAAAGGGAGCGTCCCGGTAGGCGTGCCAATCGCAGTTAGTGTTGCTGCTCCAGGGTCGAGTGAAGCTGGGCCGAGTGGCTCGAGCAGGCATGGTAGGAGTGGGGAAGACTCCGAAGGGGCTGGCAGTCCATCTTCATTTGGTAGTAGCTCCGAGGAAGAGCTGAGCCAGCAGGGCAGTGGGATTCTGACCAGGGATTATCTGCCCGTGCTGAAGGATGGTGACGTGTGGCGCATCCGTACATTGTATCATATCCCCGGTTCGGTCAAAATCCAGACCCCGCGGTCGTACGAGCAGGTTAATTGGGAAGCTGAGGGCTGGGTCTGTGTGTACGAGAAATGGTTTCATGACGGGTTGAGGTTGCCTATGCCTCGCCTCGTCTGGGAGGTGCTGAACCACTTCATTATCGCCATTTCCCAACTTATGCCGAACGCTTGGAGATTGCTGATGGCCCTGGAGGATCTGTGTGTTCGGCACCAAATTGTGTTCGGGTTGCACAAGCTGCTGTACTCGTACTTCCTGAAGGAGAACGATAAGGAGAAGGGCCGATATCTGCTGAACTTGAGGCACGACCGGTCTCATCTGGTGACCGACCTACGGTCTAGTGATAAGAACTGGAAAGACCGCTACTTCTTCTTAAGGGGTCAGGCCGTTTTCGGAGAAAAGGGCACGGGCGAGATCCCGATCGGCTGGCGAGCCACTAGTGAGAACTTAGTCGTTTCTTTCGTACTTTTGATTACTAAATCTTGATTGTGTTTTTTGTTTGCAGAGCTTGATTTCAATCATGCTGGGCAGAGCGAGGACGGCTTGGACGTAGCTACCCAGAGGGTGTTTGCCATCCCATTGGAGTAGAGGGATTGGCGAGTAGTGCTAGCAGAGTCCAATCTGAGGAGCAGCATTCTTTGGGCCGGAGTAGAGGCTATTCAGAGAGGTACTCCCTTCCCCTCGCTGAAGCAGACATGGGATATGCTTCTTAGCCGATACTGCAACCATATCATTTTTGGTGAGTCCGGGTTGAACCCACTAACAAATGGAGAATTTGCCCTTGCAGAATCGTTGATGAAGAAGTTGACCGTCCCGAGCGCGAGTGAGTCTATTGCCCGACGCCGAGAGAAGAAAATGAGGGAGTCCTTGGCCAGGGAGGAGAGGAGGGTAGAAGATGTGTTGGCGACGTCGCCGAGTCAGCAACCTCCGAGTCAACAGCCTTCAGTGGGAGCCGGGTCGTCCCAGGCCGTCGTTGTAGATGAGGAAGTCGGGACTATTACTATCATGATTCCGGCTACTGCGTCGACTTATTCCGACACGACATCTATGAGTAGGCTGGCAGACTCTTTCTTGTTCCCGGCGGACGAGGCGCGCCTAAATCAGATGGGTGCAGTTGCTGCCGCCGATTGGGGTGTATCCCGCGCCGTTCAGGTACGGCAGTATTTTTTATTTTTCCTGTTTTTGGCTTTGTTCTCGTTGCTGAGTTATTGTTGTGCAGGTACTCACTAGCAGTCTTCATCTGAGGAAGTCTGTCGTGGAGTAGGAGAAGCGGATACAGGAGGTATCCAAGGCCAACACTGGTTTACGGCAGAGGGAGGCAACATTCCGGAAGGCTGAGCAGGAGAGTCAGCAACGCCTCAGGGATAGTGAGGCCAAAGTCGAGAGGTTACGGCACGAGTTGGCCGAGAGGACCATAGAGGTCGAGTCCCTCAGGGAGCAGTGCATCTCCATTATTGATGACGCCATCATCAAGGCCCGAGGCGAGCTCATGCTGGAGTTCAAGGAAGGGCGGACTTCTCATTGGGATCCGGATGAAGACATTCTGCTCATGCAGGAGTTGTTGGAGGAAGGAACTGGTCATCCAGGGGGGCAGGATGAGGAGCATGAAAGATTCAGCATGCATGAAGAGTGGTGGAGATGGAGAATGAAAGCATGGATTAAAAAAACGGTTTACATGCAAAGTGTCATTTGGGCGAGGGCTGGCCTCTGCTTTATAGTGGTCGTCTGGTCTCCCAATCCTGGTGGAAGTAGGAGTCCTAGTATGACTCTATGCCAACCCTAGAAGAATCAGGGCCGTAATAAGCTATCTTACCAGTGTCCGGATAGGAAGTTGGTTCTGATTAGGAGAATAACTCCGAGTGGGAAAGTGATCAGGAATGGGAAAATACTCTAAGGGGGCTATGGGCTCTGGACTCGCCCATGGACCCAGGAAGTGGACTGGGACTAGGAGGCTCGCGCCTACATGGTTTGGGCCGGCTATACCTCGTATCAAATAGGACTAATCTGAATTGGGCCTCTGTAGGACTGGGCCTGGTCTTTCTTCACTAGTGGTCCTGTTTCCCTATTTGGGCCAAGGACGTTTTTGGCCATAACAGTTTGTCCCCACTCTCTGAGTTGAGAGTACCTTAAGTCAGAGAGTAGGTTACGCTCAAGGCGAGCTCGGTCTTCCCTCATGGACGAACGATCATTGAAGTGAATGCTCTGACCATTGCAGGTGATCCTTGATTGGACGTCGTTCGGTATCACACTCCTAACAAGAGCATGCCACCATGCGATATGCCTGATCGGTTCGAGAGCTGAAGAGCAGAGAACTAGGTATGGTCGCTCGGTACGTCTGCGCGACTAGCAAGGAAACTGCGTAAGGGGTAGTCATTGTCATGCCGGATCGGACGAGTTTAGGAAGTTCACTAAAAGCTTCATTCGGTCGGGGTGTTGGGACGACAGGTGGGTGAGGCACCCAACTACACGTTGTCCACTCGTTCGCCACGGACGGACGAATGGGCGAGGCTTCAGCTTTGTTCTGAAGAGGGCTTAACCCGGGCTATTCCAAGCTCATGCATCGATTGACCAGGCCTTCCGGGCTGGCCGAGCATGGGATGCTGGGAGGGCTCCTGACCTGAAAAGCTGAGTCAGTCGGACGGATTAAGTGGCCAAGTGAGCTCGTTAGGGTGTGAAGGTTGGATGCGCGTCGAACTCATTTCGGGAGGTCAAGCTGAGTCAGCCGGAAGGGCGGGGAGACCAAGATCAGCTTTCGTACAGGGCACGGTTTCCCAGGTGGTCTGGATCGCTGCACGTGTATGGTGGCGATCGATCGTCGTTTCGAGAGCGGGAAAATGAAGAGACCCCCTGACAACGGCCAATCACAAACTACCACGTGTCTGCATTTTCTTTACAAAACTGAGAGCAGACTGTCTCTTCTGTCCGCGTTTGTTTTGTGCTTTCACCAAAAGAAAAATCTCTTTTTGTTCTTCTTTTGTTCTTTTTTGTCTTAGTTTCTTCAGCAACGGTGGTTTTTCTGCAATAAGGTAACCATTTTTTTTTTAGGCTGATTTGCTGTTCTGTTTGTGGGTTTTTTTTGGGGGTTGAAACTTTGGGAGGTAGGATGAAGGTTTTTTTTGAACTTTTGAGGGGGTTCACACTGGGTTTCCAAGTGTTTTCAGTTATGATTCAGAGAAAGGATAGATTTGAATTTTTTGGTGGATATCCGGAAGAATCCGGCAATTTCGAGCATTTTCTGGTTTTTTAGTCGGGATCGGGAAGACGAAGTTGTGCTTAGTACGAGGTCGTTGGTCGGTCCGCCTGACCGAATAGGGTGTAACCTCGTTGGAGTTAAGAGTTAGTCGTCCGCTCCACTAACACCTCTTGTAAGGCAGCGTTCACTTGATCGAAGCTTGATTCATGTCATGCTAATGCTTCATTGACTTAGTTGCGGAATTCCACATTCGTTTTGCTGCAAGTGTCCATGGTCAAAGCCATGCTCTGATACCACTAATAAGAAAGAATTTAGATAAGGGTGAAGAGGGGACTTGGAAGGAGAAGAAGAGAGGAATTACGGGCTAAAATTCTGCCCCCTTTATTGAACTCACTCAGGCTGTATATAGCCATACAACTAACAGGGAAAGTAAAAAGTAACAATAAGCTAATTAGTAGGAAAGAGGATAGCAACCACTATCCCACTATCCCACGATTTTATTCACTAAGATTAAAACAATTTGACCAAGTCCTAACTAACAGATAACCCAAACAAACTTTTACCAAGTCATCCCATTTTGCCACTTCCATTTCATGCTCCAGTGCATGCATGACATGCTTCCAAAGTGGCACATATCAGATGGTTAACTTATGATTAATTTTGATGCAGACCCCATCAGGCAATTTGTTTTGGATTGGGAAAAACGTGTACATATCATTGAAGCAGTTACACAAGCGCTTTTATATCTCAAAGAATACTCAAGATTGACTATTATTCATCAAGATTTAAAAGCTAGTAATGTCTTGTTAGAAGGAAATATGAAGCCAAAAATATCATACTTTGGCATGGCTAGAATATTTGCTAAAGATGATCTTGAAGCAAACACAAGCCGTATTGTAGGAACAATGTAAGTTTCTATACTTCTAATGCTATAGAATTGTCTCATGATTTCGCTTGTCTTATTTATTACTTTGTTATTGTTTTGTGATAATCCAATGTAGTAGTTATGTTCCTCCTGAGTATGCTAGAAGAGGCATATACTCTACCAAATTAGATGTTTATAGTTTTGGGGTTCTACTTCTACAGATCATAAGTGGCAAAAGGATTTCCCTTTTATAAGGTTCGAACAACTGTTTGAGCCTTCTAGACTATGTAAGTTAATTTCCTTAAAAGCTAGTATTGGTTATGTGTATCAAAATGTACTTAGCAATAGAATAAATAATTTAATAATTTCAGGTGTATGAGCTGTGGAATGATGGTAAAGGCATGGAGTTTACAGATGTATCACTAGACAATGCATATTTATCCTATAAATTAATGAGTTGCTTTTAAATCACTCTATTATGTATCCAAGAAAATCCAATTGATCGACCGTCCATGTTAAAAGTTTTCTCGATGCTCAAAATTGCAAACACTAATACGATAATTCCAAAAAAGCTCGCTTTCTCAAAGCAAAGTAAATAGAATAAACATATAAGACAGTTAAAAGGTTATTCAAGAAGCACGTCATCAATTAATGATGTAACAATTTCAAATGTTGTAACTAGATGAATTATATACTATAGCTTATTAGGTTGGCAATTGATAAAGCGTGTCTTGGAATTTTGGCGAACTAAACAGGATTAATCCCTTTCCTGTAGTTTGGGTTAAATTTATTAGGTGTAGTTTTGTATTACATGTTCATCAATTAAGATAATTGTTACTCTAAATTCTCAAATAGCATAAACCAAAAATCTGTGCAACAAAAAGCAAATTACTTGGGCAAATGTGCAAAAGCAGAGCATAAACAGAAAATTTGCAAAAGCAGAGCATCAGTGGATGGCCTTAAAACTAGTGCAAGAAAATATGAACTTGTTCTTGCACCAGGAATTGGATCTGTTCATCTGTCTCCAACAAATCTTCCATATCGCTCAACTTCGACAAGGCTCCAATATTAAAGTTCATTCAAATACCTTTACAATCTATTTCAACACCTAAAAGAATTCATAGAAACGATTTGCTAAAAAATTCCATATTTCTTTAAATAAACATGAAGTGCAAACAAACAGAAACATGGAATACTTATATATATCTTGGAAACATAAAAAATAAATCAAAAGTATTTGAGAACTTTTCATGTATAGTATAAAACATAAAAGAAGTTACAAAAGAATTTTCTAGAAGATAAATTAATGATGAAATTTGCCATTGTGGAAACCAAGTCAGTTGATGGCATGCATCAAAATGTATAAATCTCTTATTACTTAATTCAACTAAGAAGTTTTATTTTTGTTACTTAATGCATGCATATTGGACACTTGGGAACCAGCGGACAATGGCTAACCTATAAGCAAATGAAGAATTAATTACACTTATGATGGTGTAGACGTAAAAATCTACCTGTACGGAAAGGGGGGTCTGATCCCGTGAGGTTGAGGCCACCAGCGATCTGCTGTACCTGCACACGTAGAGAAACACACGTGTGAAGCGAACGGGAAACACCAGGGTGGTGTTTGCCGTAGGCACTCTGACGCTCAAGTCAGCAAGGCTGAAAGGCTAATATAGTGAGGGCTAGAGGGCAAGAGATTACCGGAAGTCTAGTCGGGGACTGTGACTACGGCGGTGAAGCGAAGCTCTCAAGTAAGAGCTCCGGTTGTGAAGGTGTAATGTCGTGTCCTTTGTGAGAGGGCTGGCCTCTGCTTATATAGTGGTCGTCTGGTCTCCCAATCCTGGTAGGAGTAGGAGTCCTAGTATGACTCTGATGCCAACCCTAGAAGAATCAGGGCCGTAATAAGCTGTCTTACCAGTGTCCGGATAGGAAGTTGATTCTGATTAGGAGAATAACTCCAAGTGGGAAAGTGATCAGGAATGGGAAAATACTCTGAGGGGGCTATAGGCTCTGGACTCGCCCATGGACCCAGGAAGTGGACTGGGACTAGGAGGCTCGCGCCCACATGGTTTGGGCCGGCTATACCTCGTATCAAATAGGACTAATCTGAATTGGGCCTCTGTAGGACTGGGCTTGGTCTTTCTTCACTAGTGGTCCTGTTTCCCTATTTGGGCCAATGACGATTTTTGGCCCTAACAGTTTGTCCCCCACTCTCTGAGTTGAGAGTACCTTAAGTCAGAGAGTAGGTTACGCTCAAGGCGAGCTCGGTCTTCCCTCATGGACGAACGATCATTGAAGTGAATGCTCTAACCGTTGCAGGTGATCCTTGATTGGACGTCGTTTGGTATCCACTCCTAACTAAGAGCATGCCACCATCTCGATATGCCTGATCGGTTCGACGAGCCAAAGAGCAGAGAACTAGGTATGGTCACTCGGTACGTCCGCGCGACTAGCAAGGAAACTGCATAAGGGGCAGTCATTCATCATGCCGGATCGGACGAGCTCAGGAAGTTCACTAAAAAGCTTCATTCGGTCGGGGTGTTGGGACGACTAGGTGGGTGAGGCACCCCAACTACACGTTGTCCACTCATTCGCCACGAACGGACGAATGGGCGAGGCTTCCAGCTTTGTTCTGAAGAGGGCTTAACCCGGGCTATTCCAAGCTCATGCATTGATCGACCAGGCCTTCCGGGCTGGCCGAGCATGGGATGCCTGGGAGGGCTCCTGACCTGAAAAGCTGAGTCGGTCGGACGCATCGAGTGGCCAAGTGGACTCGTTGGGGTGTGAAGGTTGGATGCGCGTTGAACTCATTTCGAGAGGTACAAGCTGAGTCAGCCGGAAGGGCCGGGCGACCAAGATGCAGCTTCCGTACAGGGCCACGGTTTCCCAGGTGGTCTGGATCGCTGCCACGTGTATGGTGGCGATCGATCCGTCGTTTCGAGAGCGGGAAAACGAAGAGACCCCCTGACAACTGGCCAATCACGAACTGCCACTTGTCTGCATTTTCTTTACAAAACTGGAGAGCAGACTGTTCGCGTTTGTTTTGTGCTTTCACCAAAAGAAAAATCTCTCTTTTTTGTTCTTCTTTTGTTCTTTTTTGTCTCAGTTTCTTTGAGCGACGGTGGTTTTTTTTGCAACAAGGTAACCAATTTTTCTTTTTATGCCGATTTGCTGTTCTGTTTGTGGGTTTTTTTTTTGTGGTTGAAACTTTGGGAGGTAGGATGAAGGTTTTTTTTGAACTTTTGAGGGGGTTCACACTGGGTTTCCAAGTGTTTTCATGTTAGGATTCAGAGAAAAGGTATAGATTTGAATTTTCTGGTGGATATCCGGGAAGAATCCGGCAATTTCGAGCATTTTCTAGGTTTTTTAGTCGGGATCGGGAAGACGAAGTTGTGCTTAGTACGAGGTCATTTGGTCGGTCCGCCTGACCGAATAGGGTGTAACCTCGTTGGAGTTAAGAGTTAGGCTGTCCGCTCCATCCAACCGGGTGGAGAGGGGGCGCGTGGAGCGGACTGAAGAGACGGTCGGTCATCCAGGGCGAGTGGGAGTTTTTAGGTTAGTGGGTTAGTGAGCAAGGCGAGTAGGTGACTTGGTTTGAGCTTGGAGGTGGGTCGGTCATCTGGGGCGAGCGAAGTACTCTGCCGAACCTGGTTCCAGGGTCGGTTGGTTGGAGAGGTCGACCAAGGGTAGGGTGAGGTCTGATTATCGGGCAGGTCGACTAGTTGCGTGCCTCTTCCTTCGGTCGATCAGTTAGGTGGGGCAACTGATCTTCTAAGGTTCCATATTCTCGATAGGACGGGTCGACTGAGATTGAAAAGGCTAACTTTCGGGGGTGTCGGTCAGTGTTGAAGGGCGATCGGTAGCTAGGTTGACACTTGAGCATTTCTTATAGTTGAGTTCCATAACAAGGAACGAGTCGGTCGGTTGGGACGGGCGAGCGATCGATCCGATATGTCAAACGATACGTCAGCAGAGTCGAGTCGAGATGTGGTGGATGTTGGGGATGAGTATGAGCGTGCCCCAACTATTATGATGATGCCTGAAGGGAGCGTCCCGGTGGGCGTGCCGACCGCAATTAGTGTTGCTGCTCCAAGGTCGAGTGAAGCTGGGCCGACTGGCTCGGGCAGGCATGGTAGGAGTGGGGAAGACTCCGGAGGGGCTGGCAGTCCATCTTCATCCGGTAGTAGCTCCGAGGAAGAGCCGAGTCAGCAGGGCAGTGGGATTCTGACCAGGGATTATTCGCCCGTGCTGGAGGATGGTGACGTGTGGCGCATCCGTACATTGTATCATATCCCCGGTTTGGTCAAAATCCAGACCCCGTGGTCGTACGAGCAGGTTGATTGGGAAGCTGAGGGTTGGGTCTATGTGTACGAGAAATGGTTTCATGATGGGTTGAGGTTGCCTATGCCTCGCCTCGTCTGGGAGGTGCTGAACCACTTCATTATCGCCCTTTCCCAACTTATGCCAAACACTTGGAGATTGCTGATGGCCCTGGAGGATCTGTGTGTTCGGCACCAAATTGTGTTCGGGTTGCACAAGCTGCTATACTCGTACTTCCTGAAGGAGAACGATAAGGAGAAGGGCCGATATCTGCTGAACTTGAGGCATGACTGGTCTCATCTGGTGACCGACCTGCGGTCTAGTGATAAGAACTGGAAAGACCGCTACTTCTTCTTAAGGGGTCAGGCCGTTTTCAGAGAGGGGGGCACGGGCGAGATCCCGATCGGCTGGCAAGCCACTGGTGAGAACTTAGTCGTTTCTTTCGTACTTTTGATTACTAAATCTTGATTGTATTTTTTGTTTGCAGAGCTTGATTTCAATCGTGCTGGGCAGAGCGGGGACGGCTTGGACGTAGCTACCCAGAGGGTGTTTGCCATCCTATTGGAGCAGAGGGATTGGCGAGTAGTGCTAGCAGAGTCCAATATGAGGAGCAGTATTCTTTGGGCCGGAGTAGAGATATGCTTCTTAGCCTCGCTGAAGCAGACATGGGATATGCTTCTTAGCCGATACTGCAACCATATCATTTTTGGTGAGTCCGGGCTGAACCCACTAACAGTTGGAGAATTTGCCCTTGCAGAATCGTTGATGAAGAAGTTGACCGTCCCGAGCGCGAGTGAGTCTATTGCCCGACGCCGAGAGAAGAAAAGGAGGGAGTCCTTGGCCAGGGAGGAGAGGAGGGTAGGAGATGTGTTGGTGACGTCGCCGAGTCAGCAATCGTCGAGTCAACAGCCTTCAGTGGGAGCCAGGTCATCCCAGGCCGCCGTTGTAGATGAGGAAGCCGGGACTATTACTATCACGATTCCGGCTACTGCGTCGACTTATTCTGACACGACATCTATGAGTAGGCTGGTAGACTCTTTCATGTTCCCGACGGATGAGGCGCGCCTAAATCAGATGGGTGCAGTTGCTGCCGCTGATTGGGGTGTATCCTGCGCCGTTCAGGTACGACAGTATTTGTTATTTTTCCTGTTTTTGGCTTTGTTCTCGTTGCTGAGTTATTGTTGTGCAGGTACTCACTAGCAGTCTTCATCTGAGGAAGTCTGTCATGGCGTAGGAGAAGCGGATACAGGAGGTATCCAAGGCCAACACTGGTTTACGGCAGAGGGAGGCAGCATTCCGGAAGGCTGACCAGGAGAGTCAGCAACGCCTCAGGGATAGTGAGGCCGAAGTCGAGAGGTTACGGCGCGAGTTAGCCGAGAGGACCGCGGAGGTCGAGTCCCTCAGAGAGCAATGCATCTCCATTGTTGATGACGCCATCATCAAGGCCCGAGGCGAGCTCATGCTGGAGTTCAAGGAAGGGCGGACCTCTCATTAGGATCCGGATGAAGACATTCTGCTCATGCAGGAGTTGTTGGAGGAAGGAACTGGTCATCCGGGGGGCAGAACGAGGAGCAGGCGCCTGACCTTAGTCAGCCGGGGCAGTCGGGTGTTGGAGATGTGAGCGACTGGGCCGCGGGGCTGATCGCTAGTGGTGCGGACATGGCGACTGATTTGGTGATGGAGGATGATGCTCGTGCTGAGGATGCTTAGAGCTCTCTAGGTTTTGTATTTTGGGGCCTGCGATGCCCTTTTGTCTGGCGTCTGTGCCGTTTTTTGTATTCTGAACTGGGGCGTTTGATGCTGTATATACCACCTTTGACTATTTTGATTTCTAGTGTTGTCTCCTTGGATGAATGAACTGTTCTTTTATTTCTCTTCTGGTAGATGCATTATGTTTGTATATGTTACCTCAGCGTGGCCCAATGGCTAAGGCATGTAGGCCTTATGTTGGGCTGGGTTGGTGCTTTGTTTGTCGATGGTGTAGGAATTATCCATTCGGTCTAGCTGACCGAGTGTGTAGTCCACTGGATGAATGACGTTGCATCTTCAGTTCAGCTTTTGGGTCGAATGGGGCCGGTCCCAAGGTACCGAGTCTGGGATCGGGCGAGGTCGATCTAAAGGTGTCATCGTGAGTCGAGCGGGGTTGATTCGCGGGTGTGAGTACATCGACCGGGGTTGATTTGAAAGGTGTCCGTATGTATCGGGCAAGGCTGATTTGAAGGTGTCCGTACGTTCATCGGGCAGGGCCGATTTGAAGGTGTCCGTACGTTTATCGGGCAGGGCCGATTTGAAGGTGTCCGTACATTTATCGACAGGGCCGATTTGAAGGTGCCCGTACTTTCATCTGGCAGGGTCGATTTGAAGGTGTCCGTACGTTCATCGGGCAGAGCCGATTTGAAGGTGTCCGTACGTTTATCGGGCAGGGCCGATTTGAAGGTGTTCGTACGTTTATCGGCAGGGCCGATTTGAAGGTGTCCGTACCTTTATCGACAGAGCCGATTTGAAGGTGTCCGTACGTTTATCGGGTGTCCGTACCTTTATCGGGCAGGGCCGATTTGAAGGTGTCCATACGTTTATCAGGCAGGGCCGATTTGAAGGTGTCCGTACGTTTATCGGACAGGGCCGATTTGAAGGTGTCCGTATGTTTATCGGGCAGGGCCGATTTGAAGGTGTCCGTATGTTTATCGGGCAGGGCCGATTTGAAGGTGTCCGTACGTTTATCGGGCAGAGCCGATTTGAAGGTGTAAGCAATTCGTCGACCGGGGTTGATTTGAAGATGAGAACTTCTGAATAATACTTCATTAAATATCTGGCCATGAGGCTGACTGTCTAAGAGGAGGTGGATAGGCCCACTCATCCTTTTTTTTAACAATGAAAAGAAATGAAAAACAAAACCTAAAAAAATACAGGGTTCACCTACGAGTAGTAGCGTTTGAGGTGAACGGCATTCCAACTGTTGTTGATGTCTTTGCCTTCGGGGGTCTGGAGTTTGTAGGCGCCCTTCCCTGCTTCTTTGATTATCTTGTAGGGGCCTTCCCAGGTGGGGCCGAGTTTGCCAGAGTTAATTTCCTTGGTGTTTTGGAAGACCCTCCGAAGGACCCAGTCGCCTATCTTGAAAGTGCGGATCCTTACGTTGCGGTTATAATGTCAGGCGGCCTGTTGCTAGTAGACTGCGTTGCGGATGCTCGCCTGTTCCCGTAGCTCATCCACAGTGTCTAGGTTCTGGCAAAGGTTTTGACTGTTTGATTTCTCGTCTGCCCATTGGAGCCTGGTGGACGGAACTGATACTTCGGCTGGAATGACTGCTTCGAAACCGTATGTCAGGGAGAAAGGGGTTTCACCAGTTGATGATCGAGCCGTGGTTCGGTAGGACCAGAGGACTCCGGGTAGCTCGTCTGCCCATGCTGTTAGTAAACGGTCCCGTATACGCAGCGGAAACAAAAAAAATAAATAACAGGATCGTTTACATGAGCCAAGATCAAGGGTATGATTTTAACAATTTATATTAAATAAAATCTGTATAAATATTCAACATGAGTTAAGAGAAACAAACGCACGTTGAAGGCTCCTCCAAATTTGTCGACGAACGTTTTGCTACCGATCCAAGTATAGGATCGAACCTGCGTANGCAGGAACGTGATTTGGAGACACAGAAGCCATTTGTCTAATGATCTGGATCTCTTTTCATCCATCTGCTCTTTGGTCTGCCTGGTGAGCATTAAGCAAATTATCAAAGACTTTCGACACACCAGTTATTCATATTAATATAAATCCTGCACCCAAGTTCCAAAAATATTACTTAAAATTATTTCCCAATTCGAATTTTCAGAGCTGTACCTGTATTGAAACTGTTAACAAGACTATATTATTCTCCACGGTTTAGGTGAAGAATTTTGGAGCCTGACAGTAAATTAATTTTTGGTATTGTTAATCTGCTGTTATTTTATATTTACAGCTGTTTGTTTTTTTAACTTACCTAATTTCTTTTAGCTTGTGTTATGTTAATTAACTTGGAAGTATATGAAGGTACTTGTTGGGCTTTCATATTGGCTGTTAAAAGTTATCCTGAAAAGTTAGAAACAAATTTGATGGATAAGATTTCAGCAAACAAAGCTGAACAAAATATCTGTACTGTAGTTTTCTTTTTTTTCTCCTTTGTTTATACACACAAGTGTCCAGAAAATTTTAGCTTTGTTGGAGCACTTTCAATTTATTTTTAGTTCTTTGGTTTTGAAATATATCATATAACTTGAGTCTCTCAAAATTATTGTTGTAGGGATGTGAGTTACTTTGTGAAAGTAAGCAGCGTGCACTACTTGCGGTGTTTTTCGTTATCTTGGAAATAATATCATTGCTTTTGGATGTGCTTGGGCAAAGCCGCAGGAGTATCCTTCTTGCTGCATTTCTCTTATCGATATTTAGTTTTATGATGACCATTTTAACTTGTATGCTGCAAAGAACCAGAGTACATGCTGAGAAGCAACTTGGGGTGGTGGAGATTGGCTTCTCAGTGGTTCAGTTGATTGCTACATTTCTGGCAGTTTTGGGCATCAAGATCAACAACAGTTATACAGCACAAGTTTTGCTACTAGTCTTTGCTATTGTTGCAGCTGTTTTCATTTTCAGAAAGGATGAAAACATTATTGGTTCTTCAAGGCTCGGAAATGAATATGAGAATGAGCTTCAAGTTAATGAGAATGAGCTTCGAGTTAATGAGAATGAGCTTCGAGTTGCTGAGAATGAGCTTCGAGTTAATGAGAATGAGCTTCTAGTTGATGAGAATGAGCTTCAATTAATGGAGGTATGGATGTGAGCATTTGCATATATTTAATAATTAGTTTGCTTAGTAATGAGCAATATTATTCTATAAATTTTGTGATCAAAGATTTTTTCATTACATTAAGTTAATAACCTGTACATTATTTCTTTCAGATAATTTATACCGAAAATGCAAGTACGCTCAAGAGTTACCGAATAATTGAGACCCTAATAAAATCCATATGCTTGCCTCTTAAATATTTGACAATTATAACGATTCCGGCATTAACGACCATGAGCGACGAAATGTGGCAGCAGCTCCTTTCAGGACAACTTCACAGTTTGAAGGTATGAATGTGAGCATTTAAATTGAATGTTGGTTATTCATTTCACTTTGATGATATGTTGATGAGAATGAGAATGAGCATTTAAATTGAATGTTGGTTATTCATTTCCGTTTGATGAGCAGATGCTTACCCTTCAAGATTTTCCAGTTTCTGAGAATGAGCTTCCATCATTAATGGAGGTATGGATGTGAGCATTCGTATATATTTAATAATTAGTTTGCTTAGTAATGAGAAATATTATTCTATAAAATTTTGTGATTCCAAGAATTTTTCATTACTTTTAAGTTATTAACTTGTACATTATTTCTTTCAGACGGTTTCTACCGAAAATGCAAGGAGGCTCGAGATTGTCCAAAAATTTGTGGCCATTTTAAAATCCTTACGCTTGCCTCTTAAAAAGACACCGTTTCGGAAGTTGGAGTCCGTGGCGTTCCAGAGATGGTTTCCGTCCAATAGTCGTCCATTCTTCAATTTAGAACAACTTCACAGTTTGGAGGTATGAATAATGTGAGCATTTAAATTGAATGTTGGTTATTCATTTCACTTTGATGATATGTTAACTATACCTAAAAGCTTAAGCTATTAGGTAAGTGTCTAATATTAATATTTACGTCTAATCTGACAATTTATACCTTTGTTGGAAACAAATATATATATTGGAGTATGTGAAATGTGATGAGAGTAAATATCTTTTTTCAGATTCATATGCCAAGTCCGTTTGATCTTAATTCCATAAATTGGAAATGCCGTTCACTGAAACCGGTGCAGAAAAACTACATTATTGAGGTAGAGTTGTGTGGATCCAGGGGAAAATTGCGGCTACCTGAGGATGCCGATAAGTTGTTGCATGGAGATAATGAGTGGGCGTAAGTATTTTTAACTTGATGCATATTTGAAATTATTACATGTCATTAATCAGAATGAGCTCGATGTTGAAATTATCGAAACTAAGACTAACTGATCATAAATTAATAATGAAAGCTTAATTAATCATTGTCTTTGCACTGTGACTTCTGTTTTGATTTCGAAATATGTTTTTGCTTGCAGCAATAAGCTGAACATGGCTGCGAATAAAATTTCTTCGATGCGACGCCGTAAACCAGTTGACAGAAAATTAAAACAAGAAACAGAGATGTCGGTGGAGAACCTGGAGGAAGAGAAGAAGAGTAAATGAAGCTTTTGATTATGTTCATGGCTATTTGATTTAGACTAATTATATACGAACAGAGTATATTAGTAGAATGAACTTACGTGAAGAAAAGACTTTCTATACGGGTCCTTTCGTATATTGTGTAAGGATGATATTTTTCTATTTTATTTTTATTTTTATTTCAGGTTCAATATGATATTAGATTTCTGGAAATATGGTCTTAAGATTCTTCCTTTATGTTATATTACATATTTAGCATATTTGTGTCACAACAATGAGGGTTAGAACATGATCGGCATACGTCTGTATATATTTGTCAAATAATCTCATTATATTGGAAAATTAACTTGAGATGATTTTATATTATTGATCTATACGGAGCTAGAAATTAACAAAAGAGGACCGTATTCACTTATAGAATCAGACAAAATCACGTTTTACTTAACCATCACTGAGTGGTCGAGTGGTCAATTAAGACTTTTAAGTATATTATTCAAAAGGTCATGAGTTTGATTTATCTCAACCCCTAATAGGGGTGGCCACTAGAGCTTTTATCCAACTGATAGTTGTAGACGTAAAAATCTACCTGTACAGAAGGGGGGGGGTCTGATCCCGTGAGGTTGAGGCCACTAGCGATCTGCTGTACCTGCACACGTAGAGAAACACACGTGAAGCGAACGGGAAACACCGGGGTGGTGTTTGCCGTAGGCACTCCGACGCTCAAGTCAGCAAGGCTGAAAGGCTAATATAGTGAGGGCTAGGGAGTGAGAGATTACCGGAAGTCTAGTCGGGGACTGTGACTACGGCGGTGAAGTGAAGCTCTCAAGTAAGAGCTTCGGGTGTGAAGGTGTAATGTCCTCCCTTGTGAGAGGGCTGGCCTCTGCTTATATAATGGTCGTCTGGTCTCCCAATCCTTGTAGAAGCAGGAGTCCTAGTATGACTCTGATGCAAACCCTAGAAGAATTAGGGCTGTGGTAAGCTGTCTTACTAGTGTTCGGATAGGAAGGTGATTCTGATTAGGAGAGTAACTCCGAGTAGGAAAGTGATCAGGAATAGGAAGGCGACCTTGAATAGGAGATTGATTAGGAGTAGGAAAGTACTTTGAGGGGGCTATGGGCTCCAGATCCGCCCATGGACCTAGGAAATGGACTGGGATTAAGAGGCTCGCGCCCACTTGGTTTGGTCCGGCTATATCTCGTATCAAAAGGGCCTAATCCGGTTGGATCATATCGGGATTGGGCTTGGCTTCTTCTTCAGTGTCGGGCTCGTTTTCCTATCTGGGCCAAGGACGATTTTTGGCCCTAATAGTTTGCCCCCCACTCTCTGAGTTAAGAGTTACTTAAGTCAGAGAGTAGGAAGCGATCGATGGGCGCTCGGTCATCCTTCCGGGATGACCGGTTGTTGGTGTAGCTGATCCTGCAGGCGATCCGTATCCTGGGGTCGTTCTATACCCATTGCCGGTCGGGAGTATGTCATCCTCGCAAGGTCGTGCCTGATCGGTGTATGGGGTCGAGGGATCGGAGACGCATGGTCCGGAGCTCACGCGCTCATCCGGTATGTCCGACCGACTGGATAGGAAAGATCAATCGCAGCCTAGGTGTTCGCTCGGTCTTCCGGGTCAAGTGAGGTGGGGAGTTAATTGATATTTAAACATTCATTCGGTCGGGATGCGCGGACAACCGAGTGGATGAACCTTCACTGACTGTTCCTTCGTTCGTCATGGAAGGATGAGCGGGCGAGGCTTCTTACCTTGGTCCGACGAGGGCACGAAACGGGCCGTTTTAAGCTGGTCAACCGGTGTGCCACGCCTTTCAGGCCGGCGAAGCGTGGGGCACTTAAAGTGCCTTCGGAAGTCTAGGACCGGATCTGTCAGGGGTATCAAGCGATTGAGTGGATGGGATGTGTGAGCTTTGACGTTGGTTGTCTATTCGTCCGCTACGGGAGAACGACAAAGCTAGAGCTCGGGCTGGACCATTCCCAGTCGATTGACCGGTCGGGGGGAACCTCCTGAGCCTCTGATTTACTGGGGTGTGGTCCATTGGCGGACACATGTTGACTCGGTCGGCGGGTATGGGCGGTCGATTCAAGCTTTCGTATGTCATTGCCGTTTTCCAAGCGCCGCGGATACTTGCCACGTGTTCGGTAGAGATCAGATCTTCATTTACGAGGCGGGAAACTGAAAAGGCGTTTTGACCTGTGGCCAATCGTGGGCTCTCACGTGTCCTCGCCTGACAGTTTTCCCCTTTAAAAGTGAATGGGCGAACTGTTCATCTTCCAGTTTGCATTTTTCTCTCATTTTCTCTTCAAAGAAAGTTTTTCTTTCCTTTTCGTTTCTTCGATTCTGTTCTGGTTTCTTTTCAATGACGACAGCTTTCTGTCTGCAATCTATTGTTTTACGGTAAACCCTCTTTCCTTTGGACTGATTTTTAGGTTGTTTTCATTTTTTGCTGGGTTTTGGATGATAGGGTGAAGTTTTCTGAAAACTTTTGAGTAGTTTTGACGGTGTTTGAAGAGTTTAGGAGTGTTGGCATTTTGGCTTTCTGGAGTAGGTTTGGATTTCTGGTGTGTTTCCGGCAAGTTGGTTGGGTTTTTTTTTTTGTTGGTGGTGTTCCGGGCGTTTTGGACGGAATTGGGAAGACGAAGCCAATTCTAGTACGAGGTCGTTCGGTCGGTCCGCCTGACCGAATAAGGTGTCACCTTGCTAGAGTTAGGTCATCCGCTCCATCCAACCGGGTGGAGAGGAGGCGCGTGGAGCGGACTAAAGAGGCGGTCAGTCATCTAAGGTGAGTAGGAGTTTTTAGGTTGGTGGGTTGGTGGGTTGGTGAACAGGGCGAGTAGGTAACTTCGTTTAAGCTTGGAGGTGGGTCGGTCGCCTGGGGCGAGCGAATTAGTGCTCTGCTGAACCTGGTACCAGGGTCGGTCGGTTAGAGGGGTCGACCAAGGGTAGGGTGCGATCTGGTTATCGGGCAGGTCGACTGGTAGCGAGCCTCTTCCTTTGGTTGGTCAGTTAGGTGGGGCGACTGACTGTCTAAGGTTCCATATCTCTCGATAGGACAGGTCGACTGAGATTGAAGAGGCGGACTTTCGGGGATGTCGGACGGTGTTGAAGGGCGACCGATAGCTAGATTGATAATTTGAGTGGTTCTAGTTGGAGTTCCATAACAAGGAGCGAGTCGGTCGGTTGGGACGAGCGAGCGATCCGATATGTCAGACGATACATCAGTAGATTCGAGTCGAGATGTGGTGGATGTTGGGGATGAGTATGAGCGTGCCTCGACTATTGTGATGATGCCTGAAAGGAGCGTCCCGGTGGGCGTGCCGACTGGAGTTAGTGTAGCCGCTTCGAGGGCGAGTCAGGCTGGGTTGAGTGGCTAGGGCAAGCATGGTAGGAGTGGGGAAGACTCTAGAGGGGCCTGCAGTCCATCTTCGTCTGGCAGTAGCTCCGAGGAAGAGCCGAGCCAGCAGGGCAGTGGGATTCTGACCAGGGATTATCCGCCCGTGCTGAAGGATAGTGACGTGTGGCGCATCCATACATTGTATCATATCCCTGGTTCGGTCAAAATCCAGACCCCGCGGTCGTATGAACGGGTTGATTGGGAAGTTGAGGGCTGGGTCTGTGTATATGAGAAATGGTTTCATGACGGGTTGAGGTTGCCTGTGCCTCGCCTCGCCTCGTCTGGGAGGTGCTAAACCACTTCATGATTGCCCCTTCCCAGCTTATGCCGAACGCTTGGAGATTGCTGATGGCCCTGGAGGATCTGTGTGTTCGGCACCAAATTGTGTTTGGGTTGCACGAGCTACTGTACTCTTATTTCCTAAAGGAGAACGATAAGGAGAAAGGCCGATATTTGCTGAACTTGAGGCACGACCGGTCTCACCTGGTGACCGACCTGCGGTCCAATGATAAGAACTGGAAAAACCGCTACTTCTTCTTAAAGGGTCAGGTCGTTTACGGAGAGAGGGGCCCGGGCGAGATCCCGATTGGCTGGCGAGCCATTGGTGAGAACTTAGTCGTTTCTTTCGTACTTTTGATTACTAAATCTTGATTGTGTTTTTTGTTTGCAGAGCTTGATTTCAATCGTGCTGGGCAGAGCGGGGACGACTTGGACGTAGCTACCCAGAGGGTGTTAGCCATCCCATTAGAGCAGAGGGATTGGCGAGTAGTGCTAGTAGAGTCCAACCTGAGGACCAGCATTCTTTGGGCCGGAGTAGAGGCTATACAGAGAGGTACTCTCTTCCTCTCGCTGAAGCAGACATGGGATGTGCTTCTTAGCCGATACTGCAACCATATCATTTTTGGTGAGTCCAAGTTGAACCCACTAACAGTTGGAGAATTTGCACTTGCAGAATCGTTGATGAAGAAGTTGACCGTCTCGAGCGCGAGTGAATTTATTGCCTGGCGCCGAGAGAAAAAGAGGAGGGAGTCCTTGGCCAGGGAGGATAGGAGGGTAGAAGATGTGTTGGCGACACCGCCGAGTCAGCAACCACCGAGTCAGCAACCGCCGAGTCAACAGCCTTCAGTAGAAGTCGGGTCGTCCCAGGCTGCCGTTGTGGATGAGGAGGCCGGGATTATTACTACCACGATTCCGGCTACTGCATCGACTTACTCCGACCCGACATCTATGAGTAGGCTGGCTGACTCTTTCTTGTTCCCGACAGACGAGGCGCGCCTAAACTAGATGGGTGCAGTTGCTGCCGCCGATAAGGGTGTATCCCGCGCCGTTCACGTATGGCAGTACTTGTTCATTTTTCCTGTTTTTGGCTTTGTTCTCATTGCTGAGTTTTGTTGCGCAGGTACTCACTAGCAGTCTTCATCTAAGGAAGTCTATCGTGGCGTAGGAGAAGCGGATACAGGATGTATCCAAGGCCAACACTGGTTTACGGCAGAGGGAGGCAGCATCCCGGAAGGCTGAGCAGAAGAGTCAACAGCGCCTCAGGGATAGTGAGGCCGAGGTTGAGAGGTTACGGCGCGAGTTGGCCGAGAGGACTGCGGAGGTCGAGTCCCTCAGGGAGCAGTGCATCTCCATTACTGATGACGCCATCATTAAGGCCCGAGGCGAGCTCATGCTGGAGTTCAAGGAAGGGCGGACCTCTCATTGGGATCCGAATGAAGACATTCTGCTCATGCAGGAGTTGTTGGAGGAAGGAACTGGTCATCCGGGGGGGCAGGACGAGGAGCAAGCGCCTGACCTTAGTCAGTCGGGGCAGTCAGGTGTTGGGGACGTGAGCGACCGGGCTACAGGGCTGAGCGCTAGTGGTGCGGACATGGCGACTGATTTGGTGATGGAGGATGCTTAGCGCTCTCTTTTGTTTTTGTATTTTGGGGCCTGCGATGCCCTTTTGTCTAGCGTCTGTGCCGTTTTTTGTATTCTGAACTGGGGCACTTGATGCCATATATACCACCTTTGACTGTTCTGATTCCTAGTATTGTCTCCTTGGATGAATGAACTGTTCTTTTATTTCTCTTCTTGTAGGTGCGTTATGTTTGTGTATGTTATCTCAGCGTGGCCCAATGGCTAAGGCATGTAGGCCTTATGTTGGGCTGGGTTGATGCTTTGTTTGTCAATGGTGTAGGAATCATTCATTCGGTCTGGCCAACCGAGTGTGTAGTCCCCTGGATGAATGACATTGCATCTTCAGTTCAGTTTTTGGGTCGAAAGGGGCCGATCCTAAGGTGCCAAGTCTTGGATTGGGTAGGGCCGATCTGAAGGTGTCATCGTGAGTCAAGCAGGGTTGATTCGCAGGTGTGAGTAATTCATCGACCAGGGTCGATTTGAAAGGTGTCCATATGTATCGGGCAGGGCCGATTTAAAGGTGTCCGTACGTTTATCGGGCAGGGCCGATTGAAGGTGTCCGTACGTTTTATCGGGCGGGGCCGATTGAAGGTGTCCGTACGTTTTATCAGGCAGGGCCGATTTGAAGGTGTCCGTACGTTCATCGAGCGGGGCCGATTTTGAAGGTGTCCATACGTTCATCGGGTAGGGCCGATTTGAAGGTGTCTGTACGTTTATCGGACAGGGCCGATTTGAAGGTGTAAACAATTCATCGACCGGGGTCGATTTGAAGATAAGAACTTCTGAATAATACTTCATTAAATATCTGGCCATGAGGCCGACTGTCTAAGAGGAGGTGGATAGGCCCACTCATCCTTTTTTTAACAATGAAAAGAAATGAAAAACAAATCCTCAAAAAAGAAAGGGTTCACCTAGGAGTAGTAGCGTTTGAGGTGAACGGCATTCCAACTATTGTTGATGTCTTTGCCCTCGGGGGTCTGGAGTTTGTAGGCGCCTTTCCCTACTTCTTTGATTATCTTGTAGGGGCCTTCCCAGGTGGGGCTGAGTTTGCCAGAGTTAATTTCCTTGGTGTTTTGGAAGACCCTACGAAGGACCCAGTCGCCTATCTTGAAAGTACGGATCCTCACGTTGAGGTTATAATGTCGGGCGGCCTGTTACTGGTAGACTGCGTTGCGGATGCTCGCCTATTCCCGTAGCTCGTCCACAGTGTTTAGGTTCTGGCAAAGGTTTTGACTGTTTGATTTCTCGTCCGTCCATTGGAGCCTGGTGGACGGAACTGATACTTCAGTTGGAATGACTGCTTCAGAACCGTATGTCAGGGAAAATGGGGTTTCACCAGTTGATGATCGAGCCGTGGTTCGGTATGACCAGAGGACTCCGGGTAGCTCGTCTGCCCATGCGCCCTTAGCTTTCTGCAATCGCTTCTTCAATGTCTGTATGATGGTCTTGTTTGATGACTCGGCCTGGCCGTTAGACTTGGGGTTATGGGGTGTTGAGAAGCTCAACTTTATTCCCTACATGTCACAGAAATCCCTGAAGCCTAAACTAATGAACTGGGATCCATTATCGGTGACAATCTCCTTCAGTATTCCGAACCGACAGATTACATTCTTCTAGATGAAGGCTTTTACCTCTCGATCTCTGACTTGTGCAAAGGCTTCGGCTTCGATCCACTTGGTGAAGTAGTCTGTCACCGCCAACATGAAGACTCGTTGCCCCGGTGCAGTAGGTAGCTTTCCCACGATGTCCATTCCCCACTTCATGAATGGCCAAGGTGTGAGAATGGAATGGAGTCGTTCTGGTGGGAGGTGTGAGATATGGGCAAACCTTTGACAGCCGTCGCACTTCTTCGCGTAAGCGGTCGAATCGGTGCGTATGGTCAGCCAGTAGTATCCAGGGGTGATCACCCGATGAGCAAGACTGTGTCCCCCTGCATGGTTGCCGCATTCGCCTTCATGGAGTTCGGCTAGAACACTTTGGGCCTTTTCTGGGCTTATGCATTTGAGATAGGGGCCCGAGAACGACTTTCTGAGGAGTGGGCCCTCATGTAGGGTGAATCTGGCGGCTCTTGCTTTCATTCGGCGTGCTTCGTTCTTGCCAGCTGGGAGCTCATCGTCTGGCAAGGTATCTTATTATCGGGGTCATCCAGTAGTCGGCTTGTTCAACGCCCATGGCTTCTACGGGAGACTTGTTCGATGGCGGTTCCTTCCAGTTTGCCGGCCACTGCATGAATAAGAGGGGAATGGACGACTGGGAAGAACATGGGAGTGCCGAGCCAAGGTTGGCGAGGGCATCGGCATGGTAGTTCTCAGCTCTTGGGATCTGTATGATTGAGAACTCTTCGAATTGGGCCTACAGCTCTTTCACCATGCTCAAGTAGGATGTCATCTTCGAGTCGCGTGCTTGATACGTGTCTTGTAGTTGGTTGACCACAAGTTGGGAATCGGACTTCACTTCCAGCCTTTTTGCTCCCATTTCTCTGGCCAAGGAAAGTCCGGCTAGGAGGGCCTCATATTTGGCTTCGTTATTCGTGCACTTGAACCCACACCAGACTGCTCGCTAGACTATGTCTCCCTCTGGTGCGATCAGTACTATCCCAAGTCCGCTCCCATTCACATTACTCGATCCGTCCACTAGGAGAGTCCACTTCGAGGGTGGTGCACCGTTCATGCATAGTAGTTTCCTTTCCGCTTGGGTGGTGGTGCTTGGAGTGAAGTCAGCAATGAAGTCCACTAGTGCCTGGGACTTGACAGCGGTGCGTGGTTGGTAGGATACGTCGAACTCGCTGAGCTCTACCGCCCATTGCATGAGTCGGCCTGATAGTTTTGGTTTGTGCAATATTTTCTTAAGTGGGAAGGAGGTGATCACAACTATAGGGTGGCACTGAAAATACGGTCTGAGCTTCCTGGATGCATGGATGAGGGCGAGGGCAAGCTTTTCCAATTGGCTGTATCGAGTTTCTACGTCGAGGAGCGACTTGCTAATGTAGTAGACCGGTGACTGCTTTATTTCTTCTTCCCGAACTAGCACCGCTGATATGGCTGTCTTTGAGACTGCTAGGTAAGTGTAGAGCTTCTCCCCGTCCATAGGTTTGGAAAGAAGCGGGGGGGTGGTCAAATACCTCTTCAGCTGTTGTAGGGCTTTTTCGCACGAGGGGGTCCAATCGAACTTGTTGGATTTTTTGAGGGCATGGAAGAACAGGTGGCACTTATCAGCTGACCTAGAGATGAAGCGGCTCAGGGCGACCACTAGTCCTGCAAGGCGTTGGACATCTCTGATGCACGTCGGGGATGGTATGCCGAGGATCGCTCTGATCTGGTCGGGGTTGGCTTCTATCCCTCGCTGAGTGACCATATAGCCCAAGAATTTACCTGATGAGACGCCGAATGAGCATTTGGTTGGGTTCAGCTTCATGTTGTATTTTCGTAGAACGGCGAACGCCTGGCTGAGGTGGTCGAGGTGTTGTTCGGCAATCAGGGACTTGACGAGCATGTCGTCGATGTAAACTTCCATAGTCTCTCCTAAGTAGTCGGAGAACATCTTGTTGACCAGTCGTTGGTAGGTGGCCCCAACGTTCTTGAGTTCGAACATCATTACTTTGTAGCAGTATGTCCCTCTCTCTGTGATGAAGGCTGTCTTTTCCTGGTCGTTCGGGTGTATCAGGATCTGGTTATATCCAAAGAAAGCGTCCATGAAGCTAAGGAGCTCGTGGCCTATAGTCGCATCTACCATCATGTCAATGTGTGGGAGCGGGAAAGAGTCCTTGGGGCAGGCCTTGTTCAAGTCAGTGAAGTCGATGCAGACTCTCCATTTCCCGTTCTTTTTCTTTACTACCACGACGTTCGCCAGCTAGTCGGGGTAGTGGACTTCTCTGATCATGCCGTTGCTTAAGAGTGTGTCAATCTCTTTGTTGACAATTCGGTTCCGTTCTGGTGCAAATTTCCTTCTCCTCTGCTTTACTGGTGGGTGACCCGGATTTACCTTTAGCTAATGGATCATTGCTTCCGGACTGATTCCGGTCATGTCGGCGTGGGACCAGGCGAAGCAATCTTGGTTTTGTCTAAGGAACTCTATCAGTTTCTCTCTTGTCTCGGGCTCGAAGCGGGAACCTATGTGGGTCTTTCTCTCGGGGTCGTCTGGGTGTATCTGTATTTCATCCAACTCCTCTATTGAGGGTTGATCTGGCTCGGTTAGAGGGGTTGGAAGAGACTGTAATTGCTATGAGGAGTTGCCCTTGCTCTTGAAGGCGTTCTTGTAGCAGTCTCTGGAAGCTTTGGGGTCGCCCTTGATCTCTCGTACCCACCACTTGGTTGGAAACCTGATCGTCTGGTGGAAAGTAGATGGGACTGCCCGCATGTCGTGGATCCAAGGCCGCCCCAAGATGGCATTGTAGGGGGATGGGCAATCGATCACCAGGAAGACTGTCTGTTTATTTACTCCGCCGGCATAGATAGGAAGGATGATCTCCCCGATAGTGTATTTTTGCTCCGAGCTGAATCCAACCAGTAGTGTCGGTCGTCTGTTGATATTTGCTTCTTCCAGCCCCATTACTTTTACTGCTTCGAGGAATAGGATATTTGCTGACGAACTTCCATCTACGAATACCCTTTTCACTAGGATGTTGGCTATTTGCAGGGAGAGGACTCGAACTGAATTACTTGATGAGAGTATGACCTCGAGACCGGATGGATGGACTGGACTTCATGGTGGTTGTTGGTTCTAGCATACCGCTTGGCCGATGAGTAACTTACCCCACTGATTTCTGATCCTCCGGAGATGAGCGAGCAGAAATCCTTCGGTGTGGGTTCTCGCGGAGGGGGCGACGGTTCTTTGGAGCCCTTCTGGCTAATGGTGTTCTTCCCCTTGTCAGTGAGTATATCGCGGAGATGTCCCTTCTTCAGAAGTGCGGCAACCTCGAGCCGCAAGGCTATACAGTCTGTGGTGTTGTGCCCGTGATCGTTGTAGAACTCGCACCACTTGGTTGTGTCTCTCTTTGCCTCGGGATTGAGCTTACCAAGCCACTTGACGGCGGACCCCATTCCTTTCATTATCGCTACGACCTGGGTTGGTTCGATGTTGAGGTTGTACTCTGGTATTTTATGCTGGTTTGATCCGAAATGCCTGTTATCATTTCTCGCGGATTGGCGATCATAAGGTTTTCTGGTTCTGCCCATATTGCGTGCTGGAGGTTGGTAGCGGTTTTCTACCGGTCTAGGCTCTGGCTTCCTGTCGCTCCGCCTTGGTTCATATCTGGAATGAGCAGCTCGGTTCATCTCATCTTCCTCCCATCTTATCTGGATCACGGCTCAAGCTAGAGCGTCTTCCATTGTGGTGCATCCCAGCTTTGTAAGTTCTTTGTATAGTTCTCCATCCGAGAGGAGGCCTTTTCTGAAAGCGTCCACAGCAGTCTCAGGGTTGCATGAGGGAATAGAGATCTTCTCTTTGTTGAATATGCTAACATACTCTCTTAATGGCTCTCCCCTTCGCTGGTATATTCGGTACACGTCGGCCGACAACTTCTTTAGCTTCTTGCTGCTGGCACACTATTCCACAAAGGTGTCGGTAAGCTGAGCGAATGAATCGATGGATCCGTTCAGGAGGTTCGTATACCATTGGAGCGCCGGGCCGGACAAACTAGAACCGAAACTTTTGCATATGCAGGCCTCTCTAAGCGGTCGGGGTATGGAGACAGTGAATATCCGCTGCTTGTACGAGGCTATGTGGTCATCCAGGTCGGTGGTACTGTCATATGGTTTCATGTTGGGGATGGTGAATTTCTAGGGCATGTCGGCCAGGGCGATCTCATCCACAAAGGGTGAATCGGCGTAACAATTTGGTCTGCTCTTCTTGGTTGGGATTGCCATTCCTGGAATGCGTCTCATTACTGCCTCAACGTCGGTCAGTCTCTTGGCCAGTAATTATTCCATACGGGAAAGGGATACTATCGGGTCATCCCCTCTTACCGGGTCTGGTACATTTCGTTGGGTCATCCCTCGAGGGGTAGTCTGATGAATCATTCCGTCGTGCGCTCCTTGGTAGCATGGGTCTTCGTTCATCCTTTCTGGTTGGATGACTCCCATTATCACTGTTCTATTATTCTTCCCTACATGAATGGTCAAGGGAGTCGTCTGGTAGTCGTTCGGTCCGTCAGGATGGATGGGCTCAAGTACTGGAGTTGGTTTGGTTTGGCCGTTCAACCCACGAGGGTGAGCCGAGCCGGATGGGGTTTGTGTTTGGGTTGACTGGAGGTGAAATGGGATGGTGGGGATGGGTTGATCCTGCCGATGCGGGCTCTCTATTGCTGGATCGTTTTGATCATGAGGCTGGGATGGGTCGACTGGATAGCATGCTGTTGGCATATCTTTATCTCCGTTAGTCAGAACGAAGTAGTCGAGCGCCAGTGCGTACTAACGCGGCCCTTTACCGGAATCCGAGGGCCGATGCTCTGGTGTGGAGAGAGGTTGCATGGATGGGATAGTGGTGCAGAACCGATTGGGGGGTGCTTGGTCGAGCAGAAACTCGAGATCGTAGAATCGACTTACTTTCTCCTTTAGCGACTGGTTCTCGACCCTGATAGAGGTGTTTTCAGCTTCCAGCGCGGCCACCTTGTCCAAGTTTTGTTGCATGAGAGCGGTCAAAGCCTCCAGTCTGGCCTCGAGGCCGGAGTTAACGTTGTCAAGGTTGTCAGCCATGGAATGTTCCTTCACATAGCAAGTTTCGTCGAGTCCAATGATTACTAGAGACCCCACGGTGGGCGCCAAACTGTAGACGTAAAAATCTACTTGTACGGAAGGGGGGGTCTGATCCCGTGAGGTTGAGGCCACTAGCGATCTGTTGTACCTGCACACGTAGAGAAACACACGTGAAGCAAACGGGAAACACCGGGGTAGTGTTTGCCGTAGGCACTCCGACGCTCAAGTCAGCAAGGCTGAAAGGCTAATATAGTGAGGGCTAGGGAGTGAGAGATTACCGAAAGTCTAGTCAGGGACTGTGACTACGGCGGTGAAGCGAAGCTCTCAAGTAAGAGCTTCGGGTGTGAAGGTGTAATGTCCTCCCTTGTGAGAGGGCTGGCCTCTGCTTATATAATGGTCGTCTGGTCTCCCAATCCTTGTAGAAGTAAGAGTCCTAGTATGACTCTGATGCAAACCCTAGAAGAATCAGGGCTGTGGTAAGCTGTCTTACCAGTGTCCAGATAGGAAGGTGATTCTGATTAGGAGAGTAACTCCGAGTAGGAAAGTGATCAGGAATAGGAGGGCGACCTTGAATAGGAGATTGATTAGGAGTAGGAAAGTACTCTGAGGGGGCTATGGGCTCTAGATCCGCCCATGGACCTAGGAAATGGACTGGGATTAAGAGGCTCGCGCCCACGTGGTTTGGTCCAGCTATATCTCGTATCAAAAGGGCCTAATCCGGTTGGATCATATTGGGATTAGGCTTGGCTTCTTCTTCAGTGTCGGGCCCGTTTTTCTATCTGGGCCAAGGACGATTTTTGACCCTAACAATAGTTCCAAAGTTCCAGTGGATTAGTTGAGATGCACGCAAGCTAAACCGAACACTCCCGATCATAAGAAAAAAAAAAAAAAAAGCGTTTTGCATTGCAATACCATATTAAAGAAAATAATATCTAGACAGAAAGAATAATTCTCTATTTAGAATGTCTAATATAAATTTATCACAACATGCATCTACGTTACTAGTCTGGATTGTAAAATATTATTTTAGTCTAATATAATAAATACAATAATAACAAAATTTATATCAGAACATTTTGATTATATATATATATATATATATATATGTTTGTTTTGTGAAGATCATAAAGCAACAGGGTCATATATATTTGTTCATATTGATTTTAAGAACTTCCTTCGAGCTCTTCTTTCACTTTCCTCTGACAAAATGCATCCTTATCCTTATATATTTGTATGATCATCCATCTCTTTCTCTTTACTAAAACTCTCCACCCACTGGGTTTCTGGTGACAGGATTACAGGAGTAGAGGTAACTGACAGTTTGCTGTTTGCTTTCTCAAAACTTTCCTTGTACCAAATTTATTCTTAGATATTTGTTTAATCAAAGGGCATGAATATATTAACTTGTAGTACGGCTAATTCTTTATGGCATATTAGATTTTTCCATAGTTTGTATTGTATGGACAGTATTACAGTTGGAGTATGGTGGCGTACATCATTATAAAATATTAAAACAAGTTTTTTTCCATCTATGACTAATCTGTCAAGATGGAACCTTGGAAAAACTTGAAGGAATTTCCTGAACACCCATGGGCTTGTCGGACCATGAAAATCTAACCTGTTTCTTGGGCCTAAAGGAACCTTGGAAAAACTTGAAGGAATTTCCTGAACAACCATGGGCTTTTAGGACCATGAAAATCTAGCCTGTTTCTTGGCCCTAAACCCACCGCCTAATTAAAATGCTTTTGTCATTAAATGAGCGCATGCCTACATGATGTAATATTCCCGGGCCTTTTGGGTCAAATAATACTGTGATACAGTAAATGTATATTAATGGAAAGATAAATTATTTTAAAAATTATTGATTTATTATTTTTTTCTTTCAGTAGATTTCTACTTTCTAGTAAAAGAGTAGGGGGATTTACACTGTGATCCAGAGGCAACACAACTACAACTTCTCTATATACAACAAACACAAACTCAAAACATTCAGCACTACAACTTACTTCATATTGATATTACAACTAACAACCCTTCTCATCTCTTCAGGCCATTATGAAGCTTAAAAGCTTCAATATCCCGCCACTCGCCATGCCTCCACACTACCATACATATGCACACACTGACATTTCCTTCTTCGAAGCAAGTAGAAGCATAGAAAAACTTTGGACAGTCTCCCTCCTCATCGTCCACAGGAGTAGTAGGTCTCCTGTTGAGTCCATCCTCATTGCCTCCTCCCTCCTCCTCATATATCACACATCGTAAGGAGTAGTAGGTCCCCTGAGTCCATCCCCGTTTGCCTTCTCATATGTGTCCCATGTTGACCTTCTACGAAACCGAAAACTCTCTCTGTTACCTATTCATCATCCACGGTAGAAAAAGAAATGAACAGATTCAAACTTTCGTAAGCAGCTACAATATGTTTGCATGTATAATGTATAGATATACCTTGGTTCATCTTTGCCTTCCAGTTTCCTTGCTGTACGCTGAATACCAGCCAGTTTTTGACGTTGATTATGGCTCTTTCTATTACTGGATAATCAAAGAAAAACATGGGAACATATAAGTAAGAGACTAATAACTAACACAACCCTAATGACACTGAACTGATCAGTTGTAGGCCTAATCACAATTCCTTCAGTAAGAGGGAAGCATGAATAGATTACATACAATGGGCAATTATTAACAGAAAGGTAACTGCTTGAAATTATCAATATATGTGAAAGTAAGACAACTAGAGGTTGAAATGACGACAAGAAAATGAAGAAAATTCAGCAAAGGAAAGCAAACCATCAACTTAAGGAAGTCAGCCATCAAAGAATGTGATAATGAGAATATGCTATGATATAGGCAACGCAACATAATAGTTGCCTCACCTCACAAACAATAGTCCCGCTGTAAGAACCATTCCCTTCACTGCCCAAGAAACTCTGTCGCTAAATGGCATAGCATAACCTGCAGCCTCTGCAGGAAATCTTCTAACAGACTGAGCTTCTTAGCTTTCTGGGGCACCTCAGATGGTGAAGCTCTCCCTGAATCAGCAATCTTATCCAAACTTGCTTTATCACCATAGCAAGATGTTTCTTCTAGGTCAGTGTACATGTCATGATCCGGCAGTTTAACAGCAAAGCCTGCAGCGCGGCAGAGCTCAGTGCCGTTAGTGACCCACTCGACAGCTCTACCACAAACAAACTCGTTTACTACACATGGTGCTGGAACCTAGCAAGTGAAACTCTCATCAGGAAAATTGATATTATCAAATATTTGGAAAAAAGAGAAATGCTAAAAATATTCACATTTCTACTTTCTATGTCAGCCTCTCACTTTCCTTTCAACAAATATACAACAGACACAAA